ATTGCTCAAGAATCTTTGCTATGTGATAAGGAATCCTCCATGATAGCAGATGGAGAGACATCATACAAACTACACACAGACAGATTGGGGAATTACTGGTGTTCAGTGAAAATCAGTTAGAATGCACACAAAATACTGGTGCTTACCTAGACAGGTTCATAAATGACACTGAAGCTCACCCATTGACAGTTAAAATATATAAATATATATGTATTGTGATTAAACAAAACTGTAGCTCACCCAGCAACACCCAGATGAAGAAATGCACTGTGGGTACAGTGCCACAGATCATTCATACCAGCTTATATAATAACTGTGTTGAAATTCAAAATAGAACTGTCTCTACAATATATACACGAGTGATGGTTCATCCCAAAAATAACAGCTAGTGTATGCTTAGCACCAGTACAGTATACACTCAGCACTAGTACAGTGCAGAACAATGGCTTGCCTTGCAATCACTAGGCAGTCAAAGTAAGCAAGCTAACCTCAAACCACAACAATACTAATAGCTACAATGGAGTCACTCAGAGAGATGGGCCTTGCACTTGCATGTTGGCACACTCCATACAACTACTTGTAGTACGGCTTGAACTACATATCCCTCTTATGATGTCTGTGTGTGAGGGAATAATCTTTTATTTTTTTTTTTAGTTTTTTTGTAGTTTTTCTTTTATTTTTATTTTTTTATTTTTTTTGTTTTATTCAAACAAAAAGTAATTGTTATCAGCAAAATCCAAAAGGTAGACAGGATCAGGGTATCACTTTACACAATAACCTATTCAGAGACAGTAATACTGTTTGTAAGTTGATCATAGAAAAATTAATTTAAGTTATTGATTATAAATTTAATGTGTGCATTACTAATTACCCATCTTTCATGAATAATGTGTTCTCTTTCTCTCCATAATCATGTGAATTATTAATATATAAATACAGCCATGTTTAGAAACAGTGCCACCTAGTGTTTCATTAATGGTATTTGCTGGCTTTGTTAATTCTTTACCTGTTATTGCCACAGTATTTAGATTACTTGGAAGCATCTCTTAACCAGGGAGATATTTAACTTTGGCATTTGATGTTGATAGATGTGATAGAATTTGTAAATGTTGCAGTATTTTTTTATCTCCTTGCATGGTAAATATTTGTTTTTGCCCACATCTAGTTTTTGGTCTTTGACTTTCGAGAGGCATTTGTGACAGATGGAGAAATTAATAATTATTATTATTTTATTATTTATATAGGACCATTAGATTCCATAGCGCTGTACAATTGGTGGACTAACAGACATGTAATTGTAACCAGACAACTGGATGTACAGGAACAGAGAGGGGGAGGGCCCTGAGCTTTAATTCTAGAGGGAGTGGGGTATTGTGACACAAAGGGTAAAAGTAGGGGTACTAAGTAGGTTGTTAGAAAAGTATTCACTGAGGGTTTAGTAAGTACTTTTGACAGTTGCAGGAGAGGAGTCATGGGGGGTTGGGGATGAAAACCTGCTAACAGTTTAATTGATATACTTTCTTGAAGAAATGAGTTTTCAATGATTTTTTGAATGAATGGAGACTGGGTGAAAGTCTTATGGAGAAGGGAAAGGGGTTCCACAGAAGAGGTACAGTCCTTGGGAAATCTTGGAGGCGAGCATTAGAGGTGGGAGTACGGACAGAGGATATACCTAGGTCTTTGGCAGAGCGTAGGGGCCTCGACGGGATAGCATTATGTAGGGACTTGTAAGCAAGTACCAGAATTTTGAATTGAGCCCTATATCTAACTGGAAGCCAATGCAGGGACTGACAGAGCGGGGAGGCATGGGAGGTGTGAGCAGGCAGAAAATGAGCCTCGCAGCCGCATTCATTAAAGATTGCAGCAGTGCAATCTGGGAACATGTAAGACCACTGAGAAGGGGATTGCAGTAGTCAAGGCGAGAGAGAACAACAGCATGGACCAGCACCTTAGCTGCATCTGGCATTAAAGGGGGCGGATGCACGCTATGTTTTTGAGATGGAAGCGACTGGATTTGACGTTTGATTGGAAATGAGGGGTGAAGGAGAGGTTGGAGTAAAACAAAAACACCCAGGCAGCGAGCCTGCGAGGTAGAGGTAATGGTAGCGCTGTTGACTTGGAGAGAGACAGACACGGGAGTGGTAACACTTGAGGGAGGAAAGACCAGAAGTTCTGTTTTGGACAGGTTGAGTTTAAGGAAGTGAGCATCCATCCAGTTGGAAATCGCAGTGAGGCAGTCAGAGACATGAGTCAAGATGGGCGGAAAGAGATCAGGAGAGGACAGGTAGATTTGCATGTCATCTGCACAGAAATGATAACGGAAGCCAAAGAAGCTGATGAGTTTACCAAGGGAGGCGGTATAGATAGAGTACATTAGGGGACCAAGGACAGAACATTGGGGGATGCCGACAGAGAGTGGTTGGGGGGAAGTGGCAGAGTCAGAGAAAGAAACACTGAAAGAGCGTTTGGAGAGGTAGGAGGAGCACCAGGAGAGAGCAGTATCTTGTAGACCAAAATTATTGAGAATGCAGAGAAGCTGTTGATGATCAACAGAGTCAAAGGCAGCAGAAAGATCAAGGAGAATTAGAATAGAGTAATGGTCGTGAGATTTAGCAGCAATTAAATCGTTGGATACTTTTGGTCACAGCCGTTTCGACAGAATTACCAGCGCGGAATCCAGACTGAAGGGGGTCAAGCAGAAAGTTGGATTTGAGAAAGTCAGTCAGTCTAGTGTACACAACTCTCTCTAGGATCTTGGAGGCAAATGGCAGCAGCGAGATAGGGAAATAGTTGGATGGGGAGTTGCGTTCAAGGCTCGGCTTTTTCAGAATTGGGGTTACAGTTGCATGTTTGAAGGGTGAGGAAAATGTGCCAGAGGAAAGGGAGAGATTGAACATTTTAGTGAGAGGAATTGCAAGAGAGGGAGACAAAGTGCAGATGAGATATGAGGGAATGGGATCAAGGGGGGCGAGAGGACCGGAGCAGAGCAGAAACCTCTTCTGCTGTAGCAGGTGCGAATGAGTGTAGAATGGTGAAGGTAGTGGGGTTGGGTGATGTATCGGTAGGGAAAGGAGAGAAATTAGTAATCTCTTCTCTGATTGTAGAGGTCTTCTCAGTGAAGTGAGATGCAAAGTTTGTGGCGGACAAGGTGGTAGAAGGAGTGGGAGTAAAAGGGCGAAGAAGAGCATCAAAAGTGTGAAATAGGTGTTTGGGTTGATGGGATAGTGTACTTATGAAGGTGTTAAAGTAATTTACTTTTGCAGCGGAAAGAGCCAGGCGGTAGGAGCGCAGCATAAATTTATAGTGGAGGAAGTCAGATGCAAAGTGAAACTTTCTCAATCAGTTCTAGAACATTTTTGGATGTAACGGGTCAACTTGGTGTGCCAGGGTTGTAATTGGGGACGCTTGCTGCGTTTAATTGCAGGAGGTGCCATGATGTTGAGTTGAGAGAGTTAAGTTGTAGAGTGAGGTTGCAGAGTTAGGGCAAGTTAAATTTGAGATTGGTAAAAGGAGAGTTTGAAGTTTGGTGGAGAAATGCTGGAGATCAAGGCATTTGAGGTTTATGCGAGATTGGAGAGTTGAGGGTGGTTGCGATTTGCGTACGGGTAAGCGGATGTCAAATGTTAGCAGATGGTGGTCAGACAAAGGAAATGGAACAATGGAGAGATTAGAGGTGGTGCAGAGATGAGGTCAAGAGTGTTTCCTGCTGCATGGGTTGCTGAAGTAGACAACTGCGTGAGGCCAAAGGAGGAGGTTACAGAGAGCAGAAGGGAAGCATCAGTGCAGTTGAGGTTGTTTATTGGGATGTTAAAGTCCTCAAGTACGAGGGAGGGAGTGCTAGAGAAGAGAAAGTGGGGTAGTCAGGAAGAAAAGTGTTCAATGAATAGCCTGAGATGACCCGGGGGTCACGATAGATGATGGCAATTCTTAAAGGAGTGGGCTTAAAAGCGTAACTTTTATTGGAATTTACTACATCAGTCACCTGTAATATTGTTTCACACCTACAACACTTGTTACACAGATCTAGGGGATAGAAAAAAGATTGATATTTTCTACATTAGAAACTACCAGATAACAAGCTACTATATTTAAACCAGTTATCAATAGCTAAGAGGTACTTCAACAATATTGTAATTCTGGGGCAATACCCTCACAAGTCAAACTGAGAGGTCAGTTTATAGGAAAACTGTTGCCTGGAGGAAATTCTAAAACAATTTCCATATGTCCTTTGCAGACTTTACATGCTGGAAAAACTCAGGTGCCAACTGCTGTGGCTTTCTGCAGTGTGCAGACCGACAACGAGGGCAGGGTTGAGGAGTGGGTGGAAGATGATGTGGAGGATGATGAGGTCCTAGACCCCACATGAAGTCAAGGTCATGCGAGTGACGTGTGAAGTTTGGACGAAGAGGCGCTGGTCGCAAGAGGGAGCAGGGTGCAAAAGCGGAGCTGCCGTCTCCTAGCGCTCGTCGGCATGTATTACCTCGAGAATTATCGGTTATCCAAGTAATACATGTAGCGATCAAAGGATCCATAATAGAGTTGAGTGAACCCGAAATGCAAAGTCCGGGTTCGTACCAGATTTAACAATCCATGCGTAGTTTCACAGTCAGGTGGGCATGTCGGTGAACAGGACCCAGACACTGTCTGGACGGCGGTCGGACGACCGGGACCCAGTATGCCTGATGTTGAAGTTAGGAGTCACAGTGTGGAATGGATTAGCAGCGTCTGGTGCAGGGTAACCGCACACCCCCTGGTGTTGAGCACCAGCGTTTGTGCGGCCACATACCAGGACCATGATGCAGCTTCAGTAAAAAGAGTACTGGATACCAGAAGCCATCACCAGAGTGATCCGCAACTTAGAACAGGATGTGACATTCACTGTAGCGGCTGTGCGCGCTTTTGACATTCTCACCCTGCTGCTGCTCACCTGTCTGTGCTGCAGCGTAACTTCAGCCTTCCCGCTCACCGCCTCATGAGGCTGTGCGAGCAGCAGCAGGCGATAGTGGAGTTTCAGCTGCAGCATGCATGGGTCAGTGGCTCTGCACCAGACTTCCCTCCAATTGGTCAGAGTTAAAGGATTTCAAGTGGACTCATTACAATTACAGGGCCTCTAAAGAGTCCTGTATTGTTATTTGTCGTCACTACCTTCCCGCGTCGGGAGTGGGTCATTTTCGCGCCTGCTGCCTTCCTTGCATGTGGTAGCCGTTTCACAGGGTCTCTGTAGGGAATGGAACCCTGATTCCCCATTACCCATGGTCACCAGGGTAGGTGCAGAAATGTTGCATTGAAAGTTGATATGGATGACATCCGCATGCAATTGGCCCGAGGTTCTCTAGAGTCAACAAAGTGCCTGCGCAACTATAATGTCAGCAATTACTCTGCGCAACAGAATTGTCTTTTTTTATATGTCCCAATATTTTGTGGGCTACCACAATAAAAAAAAAAAAAAAAAGACACAAACACCAGTGAGGCTAACTCATCCTCCTCCTCCACTGCTGCTTCCACCTACACCACCACGGTCACCGCCTCCTCAACCTATGGGTCACTTAGTATAAACTAGGTACACATTAGCCGAGGCTTGTGAAGGCCTTTTCTCCATGCATCAGGAGATGAGCATTTCTCCATGCATCAGGACTGCAAGAAATGCACCGCAGGCCGCATATGTTTCTTTTTTTGTATGTCCCAATATTTTGTGGGCTACCACAATTAAAATAAAAAAAAGATATATATAAACAGTGTTGGCTACCTGCTCCTCGTCCTCCACCACCGCTTCCACCTACACCGCCATGGTCACCACCTCCACAACCTATGGGTCACGTAGTATAAACTATGTACACCATAGCAGAGGCTTGAGAAGGCCTTTTCTCCATGCATCAGGAGTTGAGCTCAGTTTGAACAATGAAAGAGAATACCCTGCACTCCAATCCTCTCTCAAATGGATAATTCTGGTAATCCTCCTGACAGCCATGCTTTAGATTTTTGATTTATGTTCTTCCAAAGCTAAAATCAAAGATTCCATCTAGTGCTATTTTATGGCTTAGCTGTATTTTTTATTTTTATGTTATTTGAAGTGATTTCCCTCTCCACATTTGTTTGCAGGGCACTTGTCCTACTCTTATCCCATTGTACTTGCTTTTGCAGCTCTCTAGCTCTTTCCAGGAGTTTTTAGAGGCATTTTTGTGCCCAAAAGTTCTGGTCCCCATTGACTTTAATAGGGTTCGGGTTCAGGGTCAAGTTCGAGCCCGAACCCGGACTTTTTTTCAAAGGTCGGCCAAACCTGCCGGACCTGAACATCAAGGTGTCTGCTCAACTCTAGTAACGAGCTTGGGGTTGGCGGGCCTCTGAGCTATGTTCAGGTTTGCAGTAGGGAACTTTTTAAAACCCAGACTGTGGAAGACAGAGAGGATAGGGTCAAAAAAGGCCTGCAATAAAAATATGGAATGGAGATGAACAGAGGAGGTGAGGATTGGTCAAGCAACACAATTTAGGTGGGTATCAATAAAATAAGGGGGGGGGGAGGATCAGAAATAACAGAGAAAGTCTTTAGAGATAAGCAGATAGTTGATTAACATTTAAGTTAACAAACCAACAATGATGAGTAGGGCAGGGAACAACTAGCTTTAGCATGCAGCAGAACGAGACAAACTACAAAATATAAGTATGTATGAATAGGCACATACACACACACACACATGTCTGTATATATATACAGACATATATACACAAACTTATAGTAAAGAGCAAGATCGTCCAGGTATGTTACAATGACAAAGAAATAGTGGTTAAAGATACATTGTTTAAAAAATACACAAGTAGTTGAAATACAATAAAATGATAGTGTCCATTATTAAGGGTTGATAGTGTCCTCCATAGTCTACCTTGCATAAGGCACTGATCCAGCTGTACTCAATCTGATCTGCTCTGAGCAATGTCAAGGTTTGCAGTAGAGAACTTTTTAAACCTCAGACTTGCATAAGACACTGATCCACATCTGTTTATTTTACTTAGAGCTATTTAAATTTTACAGACATGATGAGTTTATGAAGGGTTCAATATTTTAAATGTTTGCTATACTTTACATAATTCCCGTTAAACGTAGGTAGTACTGAGGTGCACTGTGATAGGTTGCTTTTAATTTTCTATACTGGATGTGGTACAATAGGGAAATTTTCATTCATCTCATTTTTTGCCCACATATCGGCGCCATATAATTTTGACATCTTCATCCAAGGTAGTTCCAATTTTAAGCTATTTTTTAGAAATATTGCAGATAATCATCAAGTGGGTTGTGGATGTCATATCTCTAAACCCTTAGCTTGTATATTTGCAGGACACCACCTCCAAGGAAACTGAGAGATGTGCTTCTGAAAACAAGACAGCTTTGTAAAAGAAGAATGCAATTTCGTAATGGAACCTAAAAGATAATTTCAACAAGTATGGAGACTGACAAAGTGATTCTGTGATACAAAAGCAATGGGAAGGAGAAATTAGTTGAGCATTAACATTTAGGATTGACTAAAGTATGCATAAGGGATAGATTGCAAATGACGAACTTGAGTAATAGAGGAAATTATTTGCACTTGAACCACAATTTCGAATGTATTTTAGGTGATCAATGTGTAAAAACAAAATATATTGTTTAGGATTATGTAGCAGATTGAGCGTGAGAGTGAAATAAAAGACCAGAGGGAATAAAAATGAGAACATCACCAAATTCTATAAAATCATAGCTACTACATAGCATTTACAGAATATTTTAAATAATTGGGCTACTGGCAAAAGCATGAGAATTGTTTAATGTAGTAATTGCACCACATGTCCACAGTGCTTTTGTTATGTACTAAACTTTCTGAACTATTGTGTCAAGACTGTAATTGGTAAGAGACAGAAAATAGTTGCAGTAAGGATTCATTTCCCAAGTGTCTGCTTTAGGTATACCTTGCAAGATGACTATGCAAGCAGTTTGTGGTACTGGTCATAGTAACGCCTTAATAACAACATTTCTCCTACTAATTCCACATACATAAAGCCTTTCAGGGATTCCTGTAGTCATGGAGAGAGACCAGGCTCTTTTGAAAGGAAAAACAGGATCATAGGAGAGACAATGTTCAAGGAGAGGAGAATTTTTTTATAAAGAAAATAATAAAGCAATGAAAAGAATAACGAGTAGCAATACACATGTAATGAGAATTAAAAGGCACACAGAGGAAAGAAGTGTCAAAATAGTGTGTTAGGTAATAACAGTATATGTCTGTTGTTGATCATTTCTCCACTGTTAACCCCTTCAGGGCGGAGTCAATAGTGCATGTTCTGATCAAAACAAAACGTAAACAAAAACTGGAATTTGCGCTACATGTCTGTTCAACCGTACTTCACCGCTGTCACATTAAGTGCACCCACACTTATTATATATCATTTTGTTTAGGAGAAACAGGGCTTTAATTTCATATCAAATATTTAGATATGAAACATAATTTATTATGAATTAAATTAAAAAAACTGTGAGAAATTAAAAATGTTTAAAACAATTTACAGTTCCGCCTCACATTTTAGCTGTAAATGTCATAATACTGTTAGGTATTACTGCAAAAAAATGCACATATTTGTAATCAGTGATGTCTCACGAGTACAACAGTACCCCCCGTTAACAGGTTTTATGGTGTTTTGGAAAGTTACAGGGTCAAATATAGAACGTTCCATTTTCAAATTGAAATTTGCCAGATTAGTAATGTTACCTCTGAGACGGTGTGGTAGCCCAGGAATGAGAATTACCCCCATAATGGCTACCATTTGAAAAAGTAGACAAGCCAAGGTATTGAAAGTGGGATATGTTTAGTCTTTTTTAGTAGCCACTTAGTCACAAACACTGGCCAAAGTTAGCGTTCATATTTATTTTTGTGTGAAAAAAGCAAAAAATGAATATTTGGCCAGTGTTTGTGACTAAGTGGCTACTAAGAAAGACTGGACATACCCCACTTGCAATACCTCGGGTTGTCTACTTTTGCAAATGGTATGCCATCATTGGGGTAATTGTCATTCCTGGGCTACCATACGCTCTCAAAGGCAACATAACCAATCTGGCAAATTTCAATGTAAAAAAAATGAAATGCAGGCCTTTTATGTGACTCTCTAACTTTCCAAAACACCATAAAACCTGTACGTGGGGGGTACTGTTATTCTCGGGAGACTTCACTAAACACAAATATTAGTGTTTTAAAACAGGAAAACATATTACAACAATAATATAGTCCATAAAAGTGCAGTTCGTTTGTAAGAAATGCAAAAAATGTCACTATTACTTAAAATGTCATCGTTGTAATACAATTTACCAGTTTGAAACACTAATATTTGAGTTCACCGAAGTCTCCCGAGTAAAACAGTACTCCCTATGTACAGGTTTTATGGTGACTTGGAGAGTTACAGGGTCAAATATAGTGCTTGCGAATTAAATTCTCTGCACTTTCTCCCTGTGTTGTCAGGCATGTCAATCAAATTTGAATTAATCAAATCACATAATTATGTTAAAAGATTACTTAAATATACACATATAATTTTAATATATATGCATTTATAGGTATTTAAATTCTACGTGTATACTAATGTAATCTTTTATGTAATTATATGTATTTATCTATATATATGTATTTACGGTTATTTGTATTTTATATATAGATAGATATATATAGAATGTCATTCTAAGTGTATTTTGTTACCAATATATATATATATATATATATATATATATATATATATATATATATATATATATATATATATATATATATATATATATATATATATATATATAACTAAATACAGTTAGAATGAAATTACATATGAATATATAATTTATATTAAATTTTGTTTCAATATTTTATTTATTTATTTTATTATTTTATTTATTATTGCAATTATACGTATATATATATATATATATATATATATATAATATATGTGTATATATCTATTATATTTATATTATATATACATATTATATATATGTAACGTCATTCTAAGTGTATTTTAATATTAATATATATATATACTAATATTAGTATTAAAATACACTTTGTATGACGTTACATATATATAATATGTATATATATATATTAAATATATAATATATATATACATATATTATATATATATATATATAAATACATTTAATTTATTTTATAACCTGTTTAAAATTTTTTTTTACACTTTACACCAGCAGAGGGACTGTCTGACATTTCAGACAGTCCCCCGGCTGGCAGATCCATAGCCAGCTATAGCGGGCCATGTAATCGCTCTTTGAGAGCGATTGCATTGCCCCCGGGGGCCTCCTTCGCCGGGGGAGGGCTGTCAGGCAGCCCTCCAGAAGAGGATCGCGGCGGAGGTAAGTAAATATTACCTCCCCTGGGCTTAAGCCGTTACGGCGTTCTATGCCGCCGCAACGGCTT